TGCCCGGTATCTTTTGGTGGTCACTGCGGGTAATTCCTTTGGTGGTAACTGCGGGTACGCATAGGATTCTGACGAGGAGGGAGCAGATGAGGAAGAGCTAGATGACGCCCTGAACACTTTCTCGGAAGGCGGCGAGCTCGAAAAGAGCTCAAAGAAAGAGTGCGTTTCGTTTTCTGGTGTCTTGTGTCTTGTGCTTTGTGCTTTGTGTTTAGTCGCAGGTCTGTTGCAGTCCGCAAGACCCCTACCATGTGGCAAAGAATAGAACTTGGTGTTTTCACTACGGTGTTTGTGACTATACGTGTAGGAGGAGTTGGTCTATGTATTTCCCACACCTAAGTGAGAGTTGAAAATTTATTGACATCACTGGAAGTATATAACCCTAGCTGGTTTAAATAGCTTTGATGAGAGAGGGTGATACAATTCAGCTTGGGAGGGGCATTCTTAGAAGAGTTTTCAGTGGATGGTATGTGGTAGTTAGATCTATATTGTGTCTAGTGTGTACTCAGTCGTTCCGCAGAATGGTTTTACGGGTTCTTGTCACGCACGCACACACACCACTGACCAAATGTGCGCCAGTGCCATCCGCCTATCAGTGTCAATATCCCAATAGAAAGCTTCACCTAGAAACTGCGGCGTTGTATACGAAATACTTCCTCCTGTAGGCTACACACTTCTTAATTTTCTAAACCCTGCCTACTATATGTTCGTAAAGTATCTCACCAAAACATCCATCTTATCTGATGCTTGTGCTTGGTGCATGTCTGTCTGGGTCGGTTACAGACGAGGCTGCAAGCTTCGCAGTGCTCTGCGGTTCATAGACCATAGGCTAATACACTAAGGGCAGGTAATGTTTCATAGTCGGAGATTGAGGTATATATTGAGGGCTTCCAGCGGATACGAATGAAACATGCATTATATTACTGCCCTCTGCCAAGTTCTCGCCCCGATAGCACTGCTCAATATGTTTGGACCATTTGATAGGGCGGACGACGATGAAACTGGTAAGAAGAAGAAATCCGGCTCAGGCAATTCCGCCAATCCCATTGCGCAGTTGCAACACACAATCAATGTCATCACAAGGGCTATGCTGACCGTTCAGAACAAGCTCGGGCTGGTGGCGTCGCTCATGGAAGCTGTTGTAAGTATCACCTTAACTGTGCGAAACTAATCTGGGATCTTCCTAATTTTTATTAAGCTGAATTCCATATAGTTGTGTGTGCATAGCCTCTATCAATACGCTGCGATTCGCCCTTCAAACGTTTGGAAGTGCAGTGAACACAACAAGTTTGCAGTGCACACTTGTACCCGCTATACTACTCATGTACATGGCACCACCGCCGTATCGTTTCTCACTATCCTACTATAACTATAAAGCATATGTGAGTAAGTCGTATTGTGTACCTGTTCTTTGATTAGCTTGCTACTTTGTGCCCCGCGAATCTAGTATAGAACATGCTCGTCTCGGGATCGACCGGTTTCGAGTCCGTAAACGTTAATGTGACACAATTATGGAGACAGTTGTCAATCCCCTTACACTGAACTGTCATCAGGTTATAGAAGCAAAGCACTTTAGTTTCAAGCCACAATTCAGACAAAAATATACTTCTGCGTTTTGCGATTCCCATGATACACACAAGACCCTCGGTGCTATATCAATATATTTGCGAATGTGCAGGTGACGCCGTTGACCTGGGACGATCCGCGTATCACACTGCTCATAGCCAGCGCATGCGGCCTGCTGGGGATGGTGCAATTACTTATTTTGCCCTCCCGTTACGTTTTCATGGTGCTGGGCCTTATTGTATTCCGGCATCCTATATTGCGCTCCGACGGATCGGTGCCGGCTAACTTCCTGTCTCGACTTCCCAACCGAAAGAAGGAAATGGATTTGCTGTTGTAGTGGATAGGCCAGACAAAGCCCGTACTCATCTGAAGCTAGATTGCACGTACGCTATCCTGACGGACTATTTCATTTATATTCGAAATGATAAGCTGTTGCGAGTAACTCGCTACCTCGTCACCTCTTCGCACGATGGTGGTGTTTCGTGTGCCTCCTGGCCTGCCTCAATGACCAGTGGACTTGCAGAGCCTATGGTGAAATCCAGGTGGTTGATTGGCAGCTCAAATATTGGCTATGAAACGCTTTGAACGTAATCGTTTCTGGGGTCTAATATTTAAATTGTGAGTTTCGGCACTACTTAGTCCGCTTATAATGGACAGACACCGTTTCGGTATAGCGAAAATAAGTCGCCATGTATAATCGTAAAGGATGAATACTGAGCTCTGCCACCTTTGAGTGAGCGTTTGAGGGAAAGCTGAGAAACGTTAGAAAACAGGAGTCGAAAAAGAAAGGGAGCTGTAACTAGCTGGATCAAGTGTGTTGGGGCAGTCTCCGCTACCACTGAATACGAAATTTAGCTGAAGCAAAATAATGTACGATTCGTATGGAAAATAAAACATAGATCCTCATTACCCATGACACGGGTCGGCTCGATAGGTACCGACGATGAGCTATTGCCTGATCCTGTTGCAGATTTAAAACTTGCCCATTCGAGTGGTCAAACTTTAAAGTACCATATGAAGTCGCTATGGGATATGACCTGGAAGTTTGTCCTGAGGGATTTCGAATTGAAGACTTTCGAGCGAAGTTGTGTTTCGCACAATTTTTTTAAACCCTTCATAACCCACTAGTCTAGTCTTTACTATTGACTATGCCGACTAGGAATTGATGGTAGTTAACTATATGACTTCATCAGCACCTGATGAGAAATCAAAGCTGTTGGCTTCCGGGGGGAGTATGGTCGCAAGGCTAAAACTTAAAGAAGTTGACGGAAAGGTACCACCAGGAGTGGGACCTGTGGTTTAATTCGACTCAACACGGGGAAACTCACCAGGTCTGGACATAGGTGAGGATTGGCAGATTGAGAGCTCTTTCTTGATTCTATGGGTGGTGGTGCATGACCGTTGTTGGTTGGTGGAGTGATTTGTCTGATTGATTCCGTTAACGAACGAGACAACCTACTGAATAGTATCGTGAATTACTATTTACGGCATAATACGTTGAGGGACTACCGGCTTAACCCGTTGGGAATTTTGAGGCAATATCATGTCTGTGATGCCCTTAGATGTTCTGGGTCGCGCGCGCGCTACACTGATGAAGTCAACGAGTATTTTCCTACACCGGAAGGTGTATGTAATGTTTTAAAACTTTATCGTGCTGGGAATAGATGATTGCAATTATTCACCTTTAATGAGATATCTCTAGTAAGCGCATGTCACCAGCATGCGTTGATTATGTCCCTGCCCTTTGTACACACCAACCGTCGCTACTACCGATTGAATGGCTTAGTGAGGCCTCAGGAGGGAATTTTGATGGTGGCAACACCGACACTAATTCTCGAATTGGGAAAAACTTTAGTCCTATAGAGGAGGTATATGTCGTAAAAAAATATTCCGTAGGTGAACCAGAGGAAGGATCACTACCAAAATACTAATTTTGGGTTCATTAAGTGGTTTCTTGTGGTGAAACCCAGTTTGAGAGGTAGTTGGTTGACCATAATCTTATCAGCTGTTCTTAAGGGATCTCGTTGGTGAGGTATGGTCTGGTCTGTGGTGTGCTCGTTTATCGATCTTCATACCTTAAGCTATCAAACACTACACATACATCCATTCAATATATATATATATATATATATATACACATATATATATACCTATACATATATATCATGAAGCAATACATTAGCAAATAAAAAAAACGTTGCATAAAAGCCCTCACACCGACGACGTGTTTGCAGTGCACACACGAAATACTTGACTTCACACAGAACGCGTAGACTGTGGCACGTGTTGGTTTGGGTTCAGAATGTGTAGAGTGGGTTGTACTTAACGACGACGGATACGGCTCTCTTGTAAATTCGATTGAGGTTGAAGTTATATCTCGCGCATTGCCCATAGCTATGGGTGGCCAGTATCATATCTTGTGTGCGATGGCAATTCATCTTTAGTTTAACATCATATGCATAGGTAGTAAACAGGATAGACTTTCTATATAGTACGAACATTTATTGCCATTCCATCGCATAGAGAAAGCAAGCCTTTCAATACAGTACCAACATCAATTCTCATTCCATCGCAAAGCAAAAGCATGACTCTAGTACAAACATTTATTGGCATTCCATCACACAGCAAAAGCATGACTTTCAATATAGTACAACATTTACTGTCATTCCATCGCACAGCGAAAGCAAGCTGTTCAGTACAAGTAACAAGTCATTCTATCGCACACATATCGGTGCTTGTGGCAAATTTCGAGGGCCATGAGTTGTAGCAGGATCAAACCTATGTGCGTAAAGTACTTAAATATATACACACGTGCACACATAAACTTAAATGTTTACATATGTGCGCGTATAAGCTTAAATATATGCCCATTTGCACACATAAACCTTCATATATACACGTGCGCATATAAGCTTAAAAAACTTAATATACTCACACGTGCACATATAAACTGAAATATGCACACTTGTTCCCACATAACCATCCCACCGCTACCGACAGGGGGTCTTAATTCCGTCGGCCTTTCAAAGATCAGCAGCTGTGTTAGGTACTCAGGTACTCTGGGTTGTCCTGCAGTTGATAGAACAGTTGACGGTACACATCCAATGACGGTGATTCCTTGGCGATCTAAGTCTGTGACTTGTACTGCTCGGTGTCTAGTTCTTGTGATGGGCTTCTGCGACTGAATATACTTGTGCGCGGGCGACGTATTTAACGAGCCCTCTCTGAGGAATCGTCTGTAGCGGGAATGCGATTTTGTTTTTAGGTATTCGGATCTTAGAAGGCTGTGTTTGTTGTTGTTTTTATTTGTTTGTAATTGTCTTTTTTTTTCAAGTTAAAAACAAAACAATGAAAAATAACAAAGTCTTCGTTAGGCATGGACCGTATGGCCCTGTTCAATTTTTATACGTCTATACCTGTAACTACAGAGTAGCACAGCCTACAAAAAAAAAGTGTTGATTAAGGGATAATATTTTCGGTGAGCGTTCCCCTGACAACGTTTACTGTATGTAATATATATATATATAAGTATTATATATATATATAACTATTATATATAATATATATATATATATAATAATATATATATATATATG